TACAATAACTTGGCGCTTTCAAATTGTTTCTTTTTCAGTTAGATGTATTGCTACTAACTGATAGAAACATTGTATTTCTAAGTTGCAGTGAAATTATTATTATATTAGAATACAGTAATTAGAATACAATACAATACAATACTGCGTATATTATGTATACGTGTGTTAATAAAAGTGTTGGCTAGGAAATTGGATCATATTTCATATCATAAATTTATCAACCATCTTGGAAGAATAATGTTCTCCAGTTTATTTATTCAGTGCATACAAGTTTTTCTAACTGGTATTTATGGTTAATTTCAGCTTCAGCCAAGCCACCAGCATACACTGCTACCATTACGTATACACCAGTATCACAACCCGAACCACCTAGTTATTCCCCGTGTAAACAACCTTGTAATGCAGCATACATACAACCAAAGCGTACCACGAGACATTCATACTTCACGAACCAGACCAGCTCCAACGATACGTCATATCCGGGGCAGTCGGACATAATTATTGAGGAGATGAATTAAAGTCGGCAATGTGTGAAGGAAGATGGACATCGTATACGTATAACAGACTTAGATTTGATAATGTACTTTATATAATGGCATATAAACATTTGAACAAAGACATACTTAGCCTGACATGTTGGCGTAAGTGGCGCCCTCGCCGGCCGGCATCAGTCCCCACTATGTTGGCTTTTGAGCACCGCGGAGGGCGCAACTCACGCGACCTTGTCAGGATAAGACACACTGTACGACAGTTTATTGTGATCGCCAACTAAAAGTGTGAGCATGACAATATAATACATAATTTGAATTGAGTTGAATTATCGGTGCGTACCAACAAGACAAAGCGTATACACAATTGTGGAGATGTGAACATTATATCATTATGAAATGTTGAACACCACCAGATTATTCGTACTATAGTGTCTTGTTAGTTTATGTACGCTCCTAGTATATGTTAATTAAAATACATGTACATATACATATACATATACATGTACATGTATTTGAAGAAGAGAACTGTAAATTTAGTCGAATATTTGTCAAAGAATGATACAGACGATGTACAAGTACATCTGTGAAATACGACCTTCAACAGCACAATTCAGTTTTGAGTACATGTGATTCAATATGTTGGCTGGATACTTCAACGTTAAGCCACAGCCGTCCATCGATAGCGACATAGTAGGAAAACTGTAACAAAGTTGTATTGCGAATTTGGGGAATTGTGGGTAGTTTTTCTGCAGCCCCATCACTGGTTTTGTGTACGTGTTATGTCTTTTGTATAGAAGGACAATGGCCTTGGAAATGAAAATCGCGTCCGATTCGTCTACGTATTCAACCCAGAAAAAACTGAATTTTAGTTGCATATCACAGAGTATGACATGATAAGAGTGTGTATAAATCTTTTGCTATCTGAGCTGAGAGAACAAATTCGTTCTGAATAACAATCTTTTCCTCGTAAACAGCCGTTACAGGTTGGAACAAAGAAAGGGTAATTCCACAGTCCCTCTATCATAGACTGTGGTACTTGCTAGTAAACAGGCATTGCGTTGAGAACAAAGATACTAGTATATGGGTACATTCCTGAAAAATCTTGAGTGATCGTGTTGTAGGTTCAGCATAATACATCAGTGATACAAGAATTCAGAGCCTGTCAGTACAAGACCAGACTACTGTGTGCATTACAATCTTACCCATTTTAATACTGTGATGGATCGAATGTGAGAGCTTTCACCTTCAAACTTGGTAAAACAAAATAAATAGTAACTGAAGAAGATTTAATCCAAAACTTGTTTAATGACAAAACACACTTTGAATAACTCCACACTAAAATTTGCAAACAGATTTTATGTGTTGATAAGGCGTGCAATGCAATGACTAGAGCTGAACTTAGTAGCACTCATTAAATGTGATAGCGCCATCTATGTAACCTTTACGTATTAGCGATAGCGAGAATTATGAAAGCCTAAAATCAATCTAAAATGGTCATTTTCTGGACTACGCTTTCCATTCTGACAATAAAAATGTTTTTATTGACAGCATTTGTTAAGATTATTCACATTAACTAATGTAAATCTAACTATAGAATTCAAAATAAAGTCAGGTTGCCAGCGGTTTTTAAACAAGATAACAAGCTATGCACTCGTAGCCATGGTTATAAATATAAACTAAATTTCATATTTTGGAACATCAAAAATGTGCAACAGAGTCGGCTTCATTAAAGTTTGCATTTCTTCTCATTGTCATACGTGTACCTACAGAGCAAAGGTTTTGTTTTCTATGTAATGAACAAACTATTTCTATCATGTTTTATTGCATGTAAAAAAATAGTCAGTATGTACAAGGCCATACTATAAATTTGATGAAGACACTAAAGTATTTTACACAAGACTATGTGTTTATGAATAAATTAGAACAAATTATCGCTCCGGAGAAGTTTTACCTTTTATCCTTTTATAAGAAAAAAAAATTTTTTTCGTCAATTTGCCATTTTCTCGGAGGGGTTTATACTCGGACAACTACGGTACATCAAGCTGAATTAGTAATTCATGAATTTCTTGAGTGTTTTCCAGGCACTAAATATTGCCTCATTGTCAATTGCTTGGGACAATTAATTTTATCGCTAAGTATTGTACGCACAACAATAATCAACTTGAAATTGGGTAAAATATGGTACAATCTGACAACCGATTTCTCTGTCTCTCTATATATCTGATACACCTTTCACTGCAATAATATAATGAGGAACACTGTAACTAATCTATTTTTTGTTTGTTTTCCTGACCATTGATTGAAATTGCATGTTTTTTTATTCATACTTCGGTAAAAACAAGATTTTGATATTATTCCGCCATTATGTGAAAACAAAATTATTTGTTATTTTTATACTAACATAGCTGGTCAGAATAATTATTATCAACATATTATTTATTTCTCTATAATGGAAAGCAATTTTTGGAAATAATTGTTGCATATATGACGAGTAAATAGTTGCACACTTAGGTAGATGCCATCACAGTATAGTTTGACAACAAAAACACTGGGATTCAATTATTTGATAATCAGCAATGAATGTTTGCTTATATTAAGTATTTATTATTAATATACATCTGTCAGCGTAACGCCATAAGTTACAGCATGCCGTAATTTTGTGGTATTGCACTGGGTATTTGCATTCAACCATATTAGGAAATGGTGCGTGTCGG